ACTGCCTAATGAGTGTGTTTATTTTTGGATTATGGAGTTGAGCGTGAAAAGATGCAAAGATGAGTGAACAAAGCACTGTTCCAATTGAGGCAAATGCAGGGAGGCGGAAAGGCTTAAAAGAGGAGAGGGGTGCAGCTCGATTCGGTTTTGGGAATTAGACATTGGATTGTCATCTGAGACTAATACGTGCTCTTTGTATTCCTTCTTTTTTGCGCTCTTTTTCCAATCTCAATCTTCTCATCTCAATCGTTCTCTTCTTTTCGCCCTAATGACTGATTCTCATCTCTCTAAACACCAAAAGCCCCACCCTTTCAAAAGAAAAGCCGATTATTCCACCTTCAGCGCTTAATTTTCTGCTCAGTTATAGCTGCGATTGAAATTGCAAACTGAACTGTAGGATATGAAACATGCGCTTCATCAACAAAATTGGTATAAAACAACTAATTGCGTGCATTTAAATCCATCAGATTTGTGTTGTAACTTTTTAAATACCTTTTAGAACAAATAAGGTTAACAGAATTAACAGTTACCGTGGCAGAAAAAAACTCCAAGGTTACTTTATTCGTTTTTGAAACAAACGTGGGTGTATTCATAAACTGCGTAGTATTCTAGCTATAACGAGGAACAAATAACTAATTCATAAAGCTTTAATCGATTGATATTAACATGCAATTTTAGTCAGCTTAGTACTGCTTCAAAAAAGATGTGTATTTTTGGGGGCTCAGAATGGAACCTTTAGTTGGAATTTTCTGATGACAACCATGTGAAAAAAAACGGCTCGAGACACAGCGAAGAGCTGAATAATCCGACAAGTCCTTACTCTTAATTCAATTTTTTCAACGAAAGAAATCAGGGGCGAATTTAGGATTTTCTCGAGGGGGGCGGATTTTCAAAAAAAAAATCGAAAATTTTGTCGACCTTATTTTTTTAGGCCGACCAAATTGACTTTCCGAGCTCTTCCAAAGCACTAAAACGACCCTGTTTTGGCCTGGCCCTTTTTTCGCATCGCTGCACAGAAAAAGGCCAAAAAAAGCAGCGTGTTTAGGATTTTTTGGACAATTTAGACCAAAACGTCGCGTTTTTTTTTGGCGCGCGCTCCCCCCTCAAAACTAGTATATATTGGCGCCAAAGGCACCTTTAGAAAATTTTTAGGATCCCTCACCAAAAATGGATATCTCAAAATAAAAATAAAAAAGGGGACCCTTTGGGTCGGCAGGGGTTCGAATCCCTGAGGGGGGGGGGGGGAAGGGGCGTCTACCCTCCCCCCTAAATCCCTGAAAGAAATATAATTTTGTTAGAAATCAATAGTAAGGTTCGATTGCTTCCTTCGAGTTTCTCTTCCATATCACAATCAATATCAGACACTAATTGATATAGTTTTTGTCCTGCAGGGGCGTAATGAGACAGTTAGCTTGCCTAAATAAAATTTTAGCCTAAATGAAATAAAAATTCTAGCGCAAGTTAGTTCTTACCGCTCATATAATGCACACCTACTTGCCCGTGCCGAAGTTTTGCCGTTGATAATCAATTATTTGGCGATTTTATGTTCAAAAATATATTCATCCCTCTAGCAACCAATTATATGGCAATTTTATTTTCGAAGACGAAAATATCATTTTAAATGGTCAAATAAATTCATTAAAATACTTTTTTTTGTCAGTTATTCAGATTTGATTTATAAGTTGTTTTTTTTCTCTATGATAAAAAAACTTTCCTCCATATAACCTGAATATAATCCATTATTTGTTCTCCAAAAAATCTCAAAAAATTTATACTGATATAATGGCAACAAATTTTATTTTTTCTCCATATTTTTGCAATAAAAACATGACTCTGTGTAAGTATGATACTGGGAAGTATAACGTAGAGGAACTTTGTATTTGTATCTGTTTTAGTTGCTTTTTCTTTTTGTTTTTTTTTTCACACAAACTCAGGTACCATAAAGTATAAGTTTAGTTTTGGAATCTTCATTTAGCGCTTCCTTGGCAAAAAAAAATTCAAACAAAATTGGACAGTAGACTTTCGTATAGATCTCGCATCACATCAGCACTAGAAACGGCACTTATTTGAAGAAAAAAGAAAAACTCTATTTTGGAATTTTTATCAATGGGGTCGGAACGTTATGTACTACTTGCGCAGCATCCGGCTATCCATGCTATTAATTGAAACTAGCATTAACAACATCAATTGATTCAGCCAGTCATTTCACTCATTTGAGTTTCATTTGGCAAGGAAAAAGTCAACTCGGTTATAAACTCTTAGAAATTTGCACAGTTTTTTTGATTTCCTCCTCTACAGTCATTATCAAGCTTTAACAAAACTGCTTGTATCAGGGCGAAGCCCTAAATGTTCCGACTGCCTTTTAAAGTCTATGGAGCAGTAATAACACTTAAAGAATGAATGTAATAGGTTAAACAAATGAAAAACTTTGAAATAATCTCCCCTCACGCCATATAAAGTACAAAAGTATGAATTTCGCTCCTCTTAACAAATCAATTATGGCAAATAAGCTTCCTTCAATCAATTTGGAATGATTTCTAAAACGGATTAAATGTCCGCTTACGCGTTAATAGCGCGAAATATATTGCGCGTTAATTGTCCCAAATTGGCCAAAATGGCAAACTTTAGACCCCCATAACTTTACAAAAAATGATCACAGGTGAAATATCTTTTTAAATTTAAGCTCATGACAACAATACCTTTCGAATGACACAAAAAAAAACGTCAAAAGTATATAGTCAAAAAGTCAAAATTTGAAGAAAAAACCCACCTCGAGCACAAATACTCCGTTACTTTCGTTATGAAAGTCGGAACAACAAGTTATAGTTTGCGTACCACACCACAGAAATTATAGGACACGTTTGATTGTCTTAAATAGTTTCCACTGTTAACTTCATTGTGAATTTATTAAACCCGCTTATACTTTATCATTAAACCCATTCCTTGTCGTAGATAAACGGATATAATGAATGCAATAATAAGTCTATCTGTTCAATTATTGTTCCGACTTTCGTAACGAAAGTAACGGAATATTTGTGCTGTTTTTTTTTCAGACAAATTTCGACTTTTTAGCCAGCCGTTTTTGACGGATTTTTTTTATCGTTCGAAAGGTTTTGTTATCCTGAGCTTAAATTTAAAAAGATGTTTCAAATGTGATCGGTTTTCGTAAGGTTATGGGGGTTTAATGATTGTCATTTTGGGACAATTAACGCGCGATATATTTCGCACTTTTAACGCGTAAGCGGAGATTCAATCCTTCTTAGAAATTGTTCCAAATTGGTTGAAAGACGCTTATTTGCCGTAATTTATTTGTTAAAAGGAGCGAAATCTATCCTTTCGTACTTAATAAGTCTTAGAAAAAAAATTTCATTTTATTTTATTACATCTATTTTTTTTTATTTTATTGCTGCTCCACAGACTTTAAAAGGTAGTTTGAACATTCAGGGCTTCGCCCTGATACGAGCAGTCTGGTTTTGTAAACAAACTCGATGTTTTCTCCCTTCTGCTTCCACATGGCACAATTTTCATCTCTTTAGGACTTCGAATTCAGATTTTTCGATGTACGATATACGAAGACTTTGCAATGGTTTTCACAGTTCCCAATGTTATTGACTTTTGACATCTTAAGTGTGAAACTCTTAGGAACTTTTTTGAAAAATCAGACTATTGGGAAAGTAAATTCAATCTATTTTTGTTTTGAACTCAGCTCGTCACTGTATGACTTTTGAATGAAAAATGTCCATCAAAAACTCTGAAATCGATAGCCACCCAACAATTAAAGTTCAGCTATTTAAATTTATTTTTTTCTTTTCAATCTCAGTGGGAAAAGTGGCCAAGTATTGGGACATATACGCTTATCTTCAGTTTAATATGAGTTTTTATCCATTTTCTGCAGCCTAAAGATAATGTTTTGTTTTAAGGTATATTACAGGTACCAATTAAAGGTGCCAATTTCTCAAAAAAAACGAAGTTTAATGGAAAAACGAACCTTGAAATTGACTTTAGTACACACTTTTTCTTAGATCGTCGGTTTTTCTTATAAAAAAGGTAAAAAGTGTCAGTTATTTTAGATAATTATGACCACATCATGAAGTGGAAAGGAGCTATGGCATATGGTGTTTTTTCCGAATATGTATCAGGTATCTCGTGAAACATTGAAGGAAGAGTCAACTGCGGTATCATATTCAAATTTTATTGTTCGTGAGTTGGGTTTTCAACAAAAAAAAGTTCTAGTTGCGAAAAAAGCTAGTCTAGATTTTCTTCCTTATTTCAGACTGCAATTTTTAACTATAATTTCCAATCTAATTGTTTGTTGAGATTTGCTTTATTTAGCTATTCCAAACTGTTTTCCTCGCTTATTAACCAATTCAGTCCCTATTTCGGGCTGAGGGATTACAACCAAAGAGCCTAATTTTTATGAAAATTTCTGTTTTTTACTTCGAAAAAGTTAAGGACTTATGTTACTAAATTTGAAAAAAACATGCATGGTCGAAATATCTGTGCTACTTAAACAGCTATCGGCTATTGTTGTTTTTTGATGAAATTTGCTTTTAATTAAAATCGATAGTACCAAGAATGAGCGAAAACATGAGCTTTTGTTTACATTCTCCAAAAAAACCGCTGTCAGCGGTGTAAATACTTTGTCAAAGCCAAAGCAAATTATTTTCTCTACAACATAAGAACGACACTTATGTGTTTTCAAGGGCGCGCATTTAACGGATATTAATTTCTTTTCTAATACTTTTACGCCCTTCTTGAATTCGACCCCCTGATACCAATTTTTTTGAAAGTCCAACCCCTAGAGAAAATCACTTCTTTCGACCTTTCGAGAAAATATGCCACCCGCTTCCGTCGAGAAAGTTTACTTTTGGTTTTGACAACAAATAAAAGATTGCAATGTGTTGTTTTTATAGGAAGCTGCTTTAAAATAAAATTTTCTATTTTCCTCAAATTTCCAAAATAGTTCATCGAATATCAAATCAATATAGCTTCAATTTTAGGTTACTTCACGTGCGATTGTATTTTGCCCTACTACGGGACGAGATGTGAACTGTTCAACCCCTGCCTCTTTCCTTCTGTCGTATCACGTGATCAAAATGGGGTGTGTCCACGTGATTTCAAGTGTCTCAACACCACAACCGGTCATCTCTCGTGCGTGCCCCAAAACATGAACGAATGGATGGGGCAGGGACAGGGAAACTCGGGGGGAGGGGAGGGGGGACTACTTGAATTAAAATGTGCAAAGGATGCGGACTGTTTCAACGGGGGCACTTGTGATGCGAGGGGGAGCAAAAAGTGCAATTGTAAAAATGGGACCTACAGTGGTATTTTGTGTGAGAAAATGAACCCCTGTAATGACCAGTCGATCTGCAATGGAAGGGGTGTGTGTCGATCTGACAAGGGAGACAACACAGCTGAGGTAATAATTCCGCATTTTTCCTTTTGCTTTTTACTATTATACATTTTCACTAAATTTTATCTTAAACACTATGATTTTTGCTGTGGTGAGTTGCACTAAAACATGTCAGTGACAAAAAAAATGTTCACATTCAAATTGCGAAAGAGCTGTAAAACAATTTTTTTATATATAATTTTACAAGGGAGGGAGGGAGGGTCGGGGGACTGGAAAAGAGTCATTGTTCGAAATGTCAAATTCCTATCCAAAATTAGAATGAAGAACGCAATTGAGAAAAGCTGGGTGAAAAAAAAAGCTCTGATGGCCTCGCTGGTTTCTCCAACTCTGAGAGGCCCATTGGGTAAAAGTTTCAAGCCAGCCAATTTAATTTTTCCAGAAAGTTTGAATATCCGGAAGGTATTCACACATTTCGTCCCTCACACGTTTCGCCCCTCATAAATTACTGGCACGTTTCGCCCCCACACATTTCGCACCTTAAATTGCACTTTAAGAAAGCGGCGGTAAATTTACTGTGTTATAAGTTATAAGGGGCGAAATGGGTGAGGGGCGAAATGGGTGAGGGGCGAAATGGGTGAGGGGCGAAATGGGTGAGGGGCGAAATGTGCCACTAGATTTAGGAGGGGCGAAACGTGGGACATTCCCGAAAAATTAGTTCCTCTACTTTTTCGAAGAGTTTATGAGTTTGGCGGGCTATGTTTGGTTGTAATGTATAGCAGGTTGTTTATCATCCTGTTCTATAAAACGGACAACTGCATCAGAGATGTAACCGGAAATGATTTCGACGGAACTTTGGAGTCGGAAATTCCGGAATTTTCAACTACCGGATTCAGGATTCCGGAATCGAGTTCCGGAATTCGTTTATGGCATTGACGAGTAGCTGCAAAAGCATATATTGACGTTGGCTTGCTGTGTTTCACTGTGCTTTATGCAGCAAAGTCATTTCCTTTAAACGGAACAGATTCAATGGTTTTGCTCCATGATAACATTTCACTTTTGAATCAATAATTCAAGTATTTGAAAGTTGGTTTTTTGGTCGAAGATAGCAAAATTGTTCACGAATATTTACAATTTTACATCTCTAAAAAGCATACCACACAAATCAATTCTAATCAATAAATGTTAATCATGCTATTCTTATATGATTTCTTCGACTTTATGAAAATCTACTGAAAAATCTTTGGTCAATATTGATTTTTTTTGCTTCAAAAAATCTGGAAAGCATTTTTAAAAAACTTTGTGTTGTAGTGTGAGTGTGAGGCAGGCTGGTTTGGACCTCGATGTGAGATGGAAGACCCCTGTGGTGGGGGAGGGGGAGGGGGACGTCTCAACTGCTTCAACGGGGGCAACTGTGTCCGCATCTACAACCCCTTCTCCAAAATCACCACCCCCAAATGCCACTGTCTAGACGGATTCAGCGGTGAGTTGAACGCGTGAGAAATACACAAAAACAACTCCACGCATTGTTTTTATTTTTTATCTCCATTTATTCCCCCATAAAAAGGCACCACAAAGTAAATACCCTCAAACTAACTTATAGAGGATCTAGTTAAATTTGAAAATCTCAACATGGAACCCTATATCCTCGTACCGATATTGCTGCAGAGGAAAGCATGCCAGGGTTGCTCATTTTTTTTCTTCTAATTTTCTAATACTACTCATTACGAAAATTGTTTCTAATTTTGATTCCATTCACAGTAAAATTCAAATTATTTACAACAAAATGATATGTCAAACTCGAGTGCACGGGTGTGCGAATCTAATTTTGATGTGTTCTGTAGGTGCAGAGTGCAGGGAGCGTGCGAAGGAGTGTGTGATGAACCACTGCAGTCATCAGGGCCAGTGTCTGTCTCTCGGCTGGAACAAAGACGAGGAGACGTTCCGGTGTGTGTGTCCCCCCGCATACCACGGACCCAGATGCGAAAGTCTACGTAAGATTTTATTACTTGTTTGCTATCATGCTACTGTGTATATCAAGACCGTTTTTGGAATAACAAAACTATAAGTTGTTCAGCTCTTTGTTGAGAACTACTGTTTTTCCCCCCTGGTTAAAAACTACATTAAAGTTTTTTGGTAATTTTTCTGAAAGATAAAAGGGTTGAGACGTGTTGCTTCACCCTATGGCAACCATCACGGATCACGATGAGATTCGCGCCACCGACCTCTCGACCGAGAGGCAGATACCTTAGCCACTTCTTCATCGCTCCTCATAAGCTAGCTAAGGGAAACTTTGTGCCATACACTTGAGCAGTTAGAGACAACCCTTGCTAAAATGTGACAAGGTTTTTTCCTTGGCCAGGTCTGTTTCCAGGATTGGATTCTATAGATTAGCGACCCGGGCGTTTGAATTAATAGCTATATTTGTATTTTTTTATTCATTCAAGTTACTTATTGTCGGAATCTGGCTCAAACTTTGCCAAATTAGGCTGCCGGATTTCGGATGGTTGACTTATGCTTGTACAAGTTGCCCCTAGTATACATCACCAATGGATTTAGACTCTAATATCAACAAAGGGCTAAGTTTTTTAAATTATTATTTCATATTTCAGATTTTGCGAATTTCATAGGATGTGGGTGTACCATATTTCAATATACGTTTAGTGAGACGGTTCGCGTGAGATATATCGTATTGGATGAATCATATTAAGTGGATCGAGTGATATTTAATATTGAATGGGTCGAGTGATATGGGTCGAGTATTATATCATATTACATGAGTAGAGTGATATAACATATTAAATATCATAGTATATCCCTTTCAGTCGTTCTTTGACGAATAGTTTAAAAATTTCTGAAATAGTTCCTATTTTGAGTCAAGTTGAAATTTTAGCTTTGAAGGCGAATTTAATGAAGAGTCACTCTTCGTACTGACTCGATTTAGGCCAACAGAAAAATCAAAACAATGGGCAAAGTATTTATTCCTATGCTTCTCTTGTAAATCAACTATGATGATAATAAAGTTCGGTGCGATTTGCTCTAATAAGTGCACAAATTGAACAAACTTTTCTGACCATATGAAAAAATTGAATTCGAGCTGGCATTTTTCCAAGCTAAGTGTCTACACAAGTTTATCAAACGCTCCCTAAAACTAGCCGAAAAGTATTGCAATTTCGGCAAGCTTGAAGAAATTCAAAATAGCTCAATCCAGTTTTTTAAAAATATTCAGGGCCAAGTTTTCTGCATAACTAACCCCATACTTTAGGCTAACTCAGTGCAAAATAGGTCGCATAAAACGCCAATAGAGTCCCGCATTTAAAGGACCATACTAGGTAAATAAGACGAGAGGTCCTTAAAACAACAAGACATAATGACGACAAATAAAAGTTAATACATGTAAAATGAGCAGTTCGAATTTAAGCGGCTTAAGTTGTAGCATCGTCTTAAAGTCACATCAAAAACGGTAGAAATCTTAACGTCTGTCATCTTATTTGCCGGTTACCTCAAAGGACAGTTCTCCTCTCCTTTGTTTATTTAACAACCCTCACCGGAGTTCCATGGATAATAATCGATTATAATGGAAAATTGGTGTCTAAAATGTTGTCATTATAATCCATTATTGTTGCAAATTTAGACCACGATATTGATTATATTGTCATTGAAATTGATTATTTTCTTAAAAACACAATCTAATAAAATCCATTATAATGGATTATAATCCATTTAAAATCCACTATAATTGATTATGACGGATTATAATCTATACATTTTTTTTGCAAAATCATTTGCAAAACTTGCAACATTTCTGCGTTACTCACGGCCTACTCGCAATCTAAACCTACTCGAGTTAACCCCCCGCCACTTTGCCCCCCATCCGCACTTGCCCAAACCCCCTCCCCCCACTCTCCTACAGTAAAGCAACTGCACTAAACAGGAAATGCGATAACTTTGAAAAAAGTTGTAAATTTCCTGACTAACCTCTCGAAAAAATCCATTATAATTGATTACAATGGATTTTATGGGATTATATTGGCATAAAAATATAAGAAATATAATCCATTTTTAATGGATTATAATGATAAAAAATAAAGGATTATAATCCCTTTTTAATGGATTATAATGATATAAAAAACAATGGATTATAATCCATTTTGATGGATTATAATCGATTATTTTTGTAATTTTATAGATACTGACTATAAAGTAACAATATAATTGATTATTATTCATGAAATTCCAGTGCGGTAAGTATTTGAACTATTAGTACTCAGCAGTTTAATCACAAAAAAAGCATTTTGCCATAGTCTTGTATAAAATACTGGTTACAAAGCTGAAATAACATTGAACAAGTCTGCTCGTGCATAAAGGCGAAGCGGGAATCATCTGGCTGCCCTGGGTTGGGTGGTTTTGCCAAATAAAAATATCATATTGCATGGGTCGAATGATAAATCTTATTGAAAGAATCGAGTGCTATGGGTCGAGTAATATATCATATTAAATTGGTTGATTGGTATATCATTCTAAATGGGTCGATATTAGATAGAATGGACAAGCTGAAAAACAGATTCAGTTCCGAGTTAAGTTAAAATTTTGTTCTCTTGCAAGTTTAGTGAGAACTTATGCAGTAGATTTTTGTTTTAAAAAAGTATGAGTTTTTTTCTTAAAAAACACTCACACGCTATGTAAAATACAGAGTAATGCAACTCATTCAATTCAATTGAACCTCAATTCAATTTGGAACAATTTTCGATTCAGATTATTTTGCAGCTTACGTATTAATAGCACAAAACACACTAAAACGTTATTTGTTCGAACTTTTGTAGAAAACGGAATATTTATATTCGTTCAATTTTCGCCGATCGAAATATTAGTTTTCAACAAAAAAATGTTTATACCCCATTGAAGATATCGACTTCTTGAGTTCAAGTTTGAAAAAATATTTTACATCCAATTATTTTTTGTTCTGGGGGTTTGAAATTGCCAAATTGGCCATGGTTTGGACTAAATTATGCGCGCTTTGAAGAGTTTATTTATCATGCTGAGAGTGTAACGCGAAATATTTATACGTGGCAATTTATCCCGCAGAACAAAGTCGTTACAAATTGAATCGAAGCTTCCTAATTGGTCGTATTAATTTTGTACGACTAAAATATCGACACTTTGATATTGTCCAAATTTTGTAGGTTTTTAATATTTTCTTTTCCAGAAATTATTCGATTTGAATTAAGGGACAGTCGGAACATTCAAGGCTTTGCCCTGATACACGAGCACTCTTGTTTGTCCTGAAATGGCCTTATTGACTATACAAAAACTGATCAGAATTAAGACGTTTCAAAAGTGAGCTGAAGCGTTTCAAAAATGAGCTGTTTCAGAAGTTATGAAAATCCGTTTTCAATTTGAAAAAATTTAATAAAATCAATACAAAAAGCACAAAATCTGGCAAATTCATTAAAAAGCAAAAGAATTAAAGTATAATGAACAAAAATTAGAATTTTTTGTGCATTTTTCACTCCATATTGACCGAGCTGTTAGTTTCGTAGCCCCTACACTTTCCCAAAAAATGATCGCAGGTGAAACATTTTAATAAACGCATTTTAATTTTGGTCAGAGCATATAAAAGGGCTCGGTCGATTTTTTTTAAATAAAAGGCCAAACTTTTTTTTACAAATTTGAAATGAATGCGCGAAAGTAATGGTTTTTTCCTCCGTTTTATCCAACCACGTGCCATTTAAATTAAGTTATAAATTTTGCGTCCCGTAAGCGTCCCGTTATTTTTGAGCTCATGTCATCGATAGCTTTCAAATACTATATAAGTTCCGTGATAAATTGCTAACTAAAACTCGAAATTTGTGTGGAAAAAAAAATTGCCCGAACACATTTTCAGTCATTTTCTTCAAACGTCGGAACAACAAATTGTTGAGTTATGATTTGGTAGATAATTTTTAAAAAGATCTTTTTTGTACAAAAAAGTGGGAATGTGCCTTTTTGTATTAGTTGATTCATAAAAAATCTCAATTGATTAAAATGATCGGTGATAGGCCAACAGGCCAAAAGGCCAACGGGTCAAAAATTAATTTTTTTATGCAATATAACAACAGATTGTCATAGTTGTTATGCAATTGTGATGTAATTCTGATGTAGTTTTCGATATTCTGATGTAATTTATGCTTTAAAATATGGCAGTTTGTAGATAGGGCGGTTTGTTGAACATCCGCCAAACGATTAGTTTGAACAAAAAAATGCCGCCTCTAAGCAATCTGTGCAGCCGTTTTGTAATGGCTGGATGGTTTCATAATTGTTGATTTGTGATGTACTAGTCGCCTTAGTATATGCTTGAACAGGTTTTCATTCCGTCAATAATTTCATCTATCAAATATGGATATTAGTAGAGACCTTCTGTTGATATGAAAATAAGTGGCACGATGATTATGACAAGGGTTAAGTGTTTTGAATTTAGAGCAAGGATGTCTCTTTTTGTATGTTGTGATCTCTCCCGACTATATGATTAAGTACAATTTTCATGCTCTTCCTACTACAATTAGGTTAACTAGCAACTTCTTTCATACTAATTAATTGACCTGTAGTGTCGCAATATTGGAATAATCAATTTATCTCTAAGCCAGAAGTTTACCTTTTAATCAAAATGAAAAGTTTGATAATTTTAATTTGTTTTTTTTTGCAAAAAAATAAACAATTTTGAACGACGAGCTTTTAGCTTAATGACTCTGCATAAAAAATGATTACTGAAGAAGGCAACATGTAATGGCTAACAAAGCATAAAATGATGAGATCATAGCACAAGTTTAATTGATTGATGCTTCTTCTGCAGAAATTGTCTTTGAATGAATGATATTGACTCCCTTATCGATTTTTGATGCACTCATTTGTTGACATTCGGATCCTCTTTCGAAAAACTTCTTCTCCTATTAGCATAGAGTGTTTTTTCTGAATTATCTAAGAATTATTTATATAAACAATTTTTTGATAAATTAGAAAAAACACTGGCCAATTTTAAAAAAAGTAACGGATTCGGCGTCTAGCAACGTGTAAGTAAGGCCCTATAGGACGCATTTTCCAATTTGAAACGATTTCTATGCCAGACTACTCTAGAGTTTTACTAGTTTAAAGCCAAAATTTATATGAAGAAAAAAATCACCTTTTTGAAACTTAAAACAGAGCATTTCACAAATAAACAAAATCGAGTTGAACATAAATTCTTTGATTTTCGAAACTGTTAGGATGGCCTCCTCAATTGTTTCAGGCGTTTTCCTTCTTTTTCTCATTGCGCTAAACATCCAGTACTTATTGAAACCAGAATTGCCGGTTGTTCGGCAAGTATCAATGTAAGATCTGATAAAAAAGAAATTACTTTTGCGAAAGCTTTCTTTCCTAAATTTTGGGATTTTTTTAGCTTTCTTTATTGCTGTCGGTACTTATTGAAACATGAATTGCCGGTTGTTCGGCAAGTATCAATGTAAGATCTGATAAAAATGAAATTACTTTTGCGAAAGCTTTCTTTCCCAAATTTTGGGATTTTGTAGCTTTCTTCATTGCTGTCGGTACTTATTGAAACATCAATTGCCGGTTGTTCGGCAAGTATCAAGTTAAGATCTGATAAAAATGAAATTACTTTTGCGAAAGCTTTCTTTCCTAAATTTTGGGATTTTTTTAGCTTTCTTTATTGCTGTCGGTACTTATTGAAACATGAATTGCCGGTTGTTCGGCAAGTATCAATGTAAGATCTGATAAAAATGAAATTACTTTTGCGAAAGCTTTCTTTCCCAAATTTTGGGATTTTGTAGCTTTCTTCATTGCTGTCGGTACTTATTGAAACATCAATTGCCGGTTGTTCGGCAAGTATCAAGTTAAGATCTGATAAAAATGAAATTACTTTTGCGAAAGCTTTCTTTCCTAAATTTTGGGATTTTTTTAGC